CTGTTTCACTCTGAGAATTGACCGTCTTGTCTAATACTTGATGTAATTAATGAGCTCAGAGTTCAGTGCGACCAAAAATCTGACTATGGAGCAGGAGAGAGACAAACCTGTCGATAGTCAACAACTGAGCTTATGTAGTGCTGGAAATGGAGGTTAACCACACAAAAGCAAGTCTGACCAAGAGTTCATCGAGCTCTGCTTCAATAGATTGAAGCTTAAGTCCTCATCGACTGGCTGTCGAGTTGCAGCTTATCTAACTTTGTGCTTCTGGGGCTGAAAACTTTCTAAAACTGAAAGACCTGGATATTCTTCAAAGGCTCTTGAATGAACTTTTTTTTTTAATCCACATGAAAATGTACATACTGCAAAACAAAAAAGTCAGATGCACTGGCAAGGTGACCTCTGTTGTAGCGTGCAGCAGTTGCTAAGTAGGTTGACCTTGTGGAGCACCTTGGTGAAGCCCTCATTCACACTTTTGAATGAAATGGCTGAGTCAGTACTGAACTAATTGCCATGCCCTTTGTGTGGAATTTAACATAACCCTGGTCCTGTAGTGTATGCAGCCTGAGCCATTTTCAACTGTCAATTACAGAATTTTCTATTAAAACTGAAAACTCATTTTCCTGTACAGATGTGTCTCCGTCAAAACCCCCGTGGTGCTGTTGAAATAGAGATCGGCAAATCTGCAATCTGTTGAACAGCATCTGCTGTAATAAACACCCTGAAATCATCAAAATTCAGAGCGTGTGAGAGTGAGGCAGACCCCTAAGCTAATATCAGTGTGACCATTACTCACAATCCCGCCTGGTCAATCATGCTAAATGTCCCCATCCCTGCTGTTGTCATCCAGCCTTTGCTCCTCAGCCCCCTCCTCACACCGGAGGCCTAATCCATCATCCTGCCTGCAGTGCAAAGGGATGGAGCATGCAGAAAAGCTACACTGAGGGATTTAACTTTGTTACCACCAGAGGCCATAAATCTACAGCGGCTGCCTCCAAGAGCTGCTCTACAGTTACATGATTAAATGTATGACATAACATAAAGGATGCATAGATGTGAATGAGAAATTGTGGTTGTGGCACTATTGTGATATTTTACCTCGGCTATAGAGCTGTACCCTAATGTGCTGCATAGTTCTACGCTTTTAATATATTTCAAAGATGAACTTTATCAAGATTTAAAGATTTGGTCCAGACAGCTTCTTAACTTGACAAACAGTGTGGCTTAATGGAAAGAAACCATTTCATCCAATTCTTAAAGGAGTTTTTTTAAAAAAAAATATATTTATCATTTTGATATTAAAATGTAGTTTTCCAACCCAGCCTTGTAAATACAAGTAAACATGTTTCTTCATCTAACAATATATCTTGCTATGCATTAAATACATCCAGTACACCTAAAGAGAATCTAATGAACAAATGCAAAAACACTTCTTATCCTCTTATTGACAGCTTCTTCTAATGACATGCAAATGCTCACTGCAAAATTCAACCTTGTATGGATTGGTTTATTGATCGTCCTTTAACGACAGGACAAAGGTCAAGGGTTACGTGCTTTCTCGTGTACGAGTCCACATGCTTAAAGACGTATTGTGATATCCATTTTGCTGACTCTTTCAGTGACGCACTTCCAGCGTCCTCTGTCAGGCAACAATAAACTATGTGTACATGTTTTACAAGTCATAGCCACATATGGAGACAGTGACCTTCAGTGATGTGGATAACAAGACAACTGTTGATGAAAGCGTCATATTTCAGACGTTATACTGAGTCAATGTGACAGACAGTGACTTGAGGCACTAATTACACTCTGTCTTGTCACAGTTAAATTGTCACACTGGTCCTGTTTTGAACACCAGAGGGAGCTGCCTGCAGGGTGAACGTTTGCATTTACTGAAGTCTGATGTATAGTGGGAGAACGCAGCAATGTGTGAACTGGAGTTAGCACTAACGTATTATTTTTTGCTCTCTGGAGCGTTTTGATTTATGTTGTTTTCTCCTTCGAGTAAATAATTCTGCAGAGGCTTCTGATTATTCAAAAATGAGTGAAATGTGTGACAAGATGCCCTTTTCCACTAAAAGCATGTTTACCGTGTCTTGGAGTGGATTAGCACGAGGGAGAGGATAGGCTCTGTGGATCGTTTATTTTTAAAAATGCAGCGTGGTCGTTGCGTACTTTGTTTATACACTGACTGGCATCGTTAAGTGAGAGCAAGCAGACTCTCTCTTGCCAATTGTCCTCTCGACACAAATCAACTTTTGTGGCTGAAGACAGAGGAGGTGGAAGAGGAAATCCTATAGGCCGGAGAGTGCTCTGTGAGACGCAAGTGTTTTTCTTTGCATGGAGACAACAAAGAAAGGTCATGTGAGGCTTCAAAGGACATAACGATATTTCATCTTAAGCACTGTTGTTGTGCAACAGGATAGTTTCTGTAGTTGGAAGAGAACTATCTCAATGTCTGAATATGTGATTTTTCAATCTGAAAAACTGGCTCTGGTATGAATATTCATTTCTCGCTGCATTTACATTCCAGTTTCTCTCCAATTGAGAAAGTTATTGAACGTTTACCAAGCTTTTAAATATGACCTTTTCAGGCCAACATGCCTTCCAATCACAGCTGGACTCACTATATTGAAATTCTAACCCTCCTCTTCTGTTGAACGGCCCTCTTTTTCTTTCTCCGTGCACGAGCCGGGTTTATCTTTAGTGCGCATTGAATATTTATACAGCAGGTGGCTGGGGAGTCAGTCACTGATCTCTAAGGTGACTTGCTGAGCCTCTGTGGGAGGTGCTGGTGTGATGGGGTTGGTCTGGGATGAAGTCACATGGGACATATTGTCTCCTCGGTGTGTCCTTTTATTCCACTTAGGTAAAGGATTATATTGTGTGGTAGACTGCCTACCACAAGCACAGAGGAGAAGAGTCAGGGAGCCATTAGAGTGCTATTATAGCTAAACTGTCATTTGATTGATGTTCTCAGCTCTCAACATCAAATATTGTGCTCTTTGCACACACCGGTTGTACATGCTGTTGTTGTATATTAACAGATGGAAAAACTCTCCGGCACACCAAAAAGTGAGAAACATTTGAAGATTTGATTAATAAGACAATCTGAGTTTTAGACTCGGGCTCTCTCACATATTCTCCCGCACTAGAGGTGGAAGGAAAGGAAGGTGAGACAGTAATTTATCATGCACTGAGGATTCACATCAGGGAGATGCTCTGAATGATAATCATGTTGTCTGAGATTGAGGTCAGCCTCATTGCTGGGGGACAATTAGAAATCCTATTAAAGTTGATACGAGGATCATCTTTTCATAATAGCTTTTAAGATATTGCTTCAAGGATGGAGTGATTTCTTTAGAGATCACTTTGCGATGACACTTTCATACAACACAGAGCACGAGCATTTAAAATCCAAAATGCCAGGCCTTGCATTGTAACAGTTCATGCATAAACTGCTTTCTTAATGTGGGTTATAGCTGCAAAGACTTTTAATAAGCTTGCTGCTGTCAGAGAGCAATTTTCCCCCTGAGCTGAACTCTTCTTCATGCGTTAACAGCTGACAGAAAATAGTAACTCTGACGAGCACCTCAGACATGAAAGGGCACAAACTAATGCAAAATTTGCTACTGTAGCCGTTTAGATATTGTATTGCATAAACTATACAGTAATGTAACAAAAGTAGACACATGAAGAAAACTTTTTTTAAACTTTTTTTGGATTGAGCTGCACAGACTTGTAAGAAAGTGTCCAATAATAAATTAGCAATTCTCACAAAAAGGCAAGGAGAAAGTTTCTGGGCATTGGCATTTCATTGTTGTAGCCACAAAGCTGTCCATGAACTGAATGTGTGAGATAAGTGCTTTGGAGTGCAAACAAACTGAAACAAAAGAACATGAGGTGGAGATTGGTTTAGTAAGTAAGACAGGGGGAGGAAGCACTTCTGCCGTCCAAGGGCATCATAAACCCCAGCATGTGTCTGCACAACAATGCCAACAGGGGCACAAATTCTCCACACACTGGGAATCGATTTCACACAGAGAGGGGAGGACTTGGAAAAGAGGCGTATCGCAGAGACACTGAAATACTCCATCTTGTGTTACTGGATTTGGAGCCCAGTTTTCTGAATGTTTTTTTCCCCCAAGTATCTGCAAGCTGGGAGATCCAGTCAAGTGGAGCTTTCCTGAGCCAGCACAAGAACCTGTGGCCAGCTGAGGAAAAGAGATTGTTCTGGGGGTTTACCTTAGAATAAAATTCATAATAAGCGCTTGAAAATTGTAAGAAAAAAACTTGACTGGCTATGGTGAGCAGCAGTGTGCACAAACTTCATAATCTGTGAGCTTTTATACTAAAAGAAAAACATTTTACACAAAGGCTGACAATAAGAAAAATAACACACATTTAAGGGCCCACAGCAGTGAGACAAACCTGTGCCAAACACACACGCATGTTTTATTAACAACAAACACAAAAGTCAGTGAGAGGTCCAGGATTAGTCCACAAATAACAGAGAGCCAGAGGGGGTAGTGAATACGTGCTGAAAATAGAGCGTCAAAAATAAACTGCTTGTGGTCTTTTAAAAGATATTTTTGTGTTGGGTTAAACGAGAAGTTACGATTTATTTAATCAGTTTCTGTCTGATGTGTCCCCCGGCACCCAGCTGTAGACCGATTGATTTTTTATATTCCTAAAATAAAGCCCCTTCTTTCTTCAGTAGAACTCGATAAAGAGACGAAGGAGAAGAGAAGGAAACAAAAGCGCATGCCAGCCATCAACTGAAATATAACAGCGATACCAAGGGGAAGTCAAAAGATCCACTACCCCCAAATAATGGAAAAATACAATTTAGCTGTTTCATTAAACTGAAATGACCGATGCAATACGGTATATTATAGAGATATCATGAAATAAAAAAACGCATTAGAGTAACTAATTACTGAAAACCACGTTGCTTTTTTATTTCATTTTATAGATACTGCTATAAGCGGACTCTGCTCTTCATCGCTGATCGCAGCCAAGTTTGCCGTCTCTTGTTTTATTAAACACGCATAAAAACGCATGTGATAGTAGTGACACGCCCCCTGGTGTTTCACGGCTGCCAGGCTGCTTGAGTTTGATAACCTTGCTCTGCGTCCGAGAGCATCACTGAAGGAATGTGGATGTGGGTCTGGATGCCTTCCTCTTGCTGCTAATTGTTGATGCAGCCCCGGAGGTCTCTCGCATGGTTATCAAGGCTCGTCCCCGGTCTCATCTCATCTCCTCCCGCTCAGACCTACAATGATGAGCACCGAGACTGTTTTTGAGAGTGGAGACCAGCCTTGTATTCGGCTGGAGCCCCTGAAGAGCACACACTTGCCGGGCAAGTCGACGCCGACCGGTGGCAGCTGCGATGTCTTCACGGACAGCAGCCCCAAAGCGACAGCCAACGGACTGCACGACATTGAGGACCGGATTCTGAGGATCACCGGCTACTACGGCTACAACCCGGGATACTCCAGTCATAAAAGTGAGTGAAAAGATGCCAAAAAAGAAAAAGAAAAAGAAAGTAGTCTGGTGTAGTCATTTGTTGATGTGACAGGTTCACGCATTTATTAGGCAAGTGTGATACTGCGTAAATTAAAGACTGTGGCAAAACGGTGCTGCCTATCAAAGCATGTTATAGCTGCCAAAAGCAAAAATGCTTGTAATTCGGTGTTTGGAAGAAACAGTGTACAATTGCCAAATCTTTTTAATTCTAATTAGGCCTTGTGCAAAATTGGTTAATGAAAACTGGATTTTAATTGTGGCTGTTAAGGAGCAGCAGAGTGTCCATCTCTGCCACTGTCAGCTGGAGGGTGGGGGATGAGCTGGCCCGTCCATCTCTGTTAGTGAGGGGGAGGTGGGGGTAAGGGGGCAGAGAGAGGCATACGAACCAAATGTAGCGCTGCGAGACAATGCAGTTACACAGCAAAGAGCCATGCAGTTAAGTGACTGCTTGAACTGTACTCTAAGGTTGCCAGCTATCGAGCGCTCACATTCCCCACATTGGAGAAGGCTGTGAACAGTCACTCCCAATCAATTGTTTATTCAAAATCTCACAGCTTCTCCTGTGATGGATGGGAATATTACCAGCTATCTCCTGGCATGCTTCAAATACAGCAGTGCGTGTATGTGTTAGCTAAGCTTCTCTATAATTTTCTTCTTGTCAAAGAGGTTTTGATTTGTGTCAGGCATTGCTCTGAATTTGCTGACATTGAGACAATGGCTGTGATTGGAGAAGAGAGCTGATGGTGCACTTTGTTCAGGGATGATCTTTAGAAAACTTGCCCTCCGGTTTTGTTCGAGTGTTGCCATTGGCAGCGGGATTATGAGAGAGAAAAGTGGGGAGAAAGGCACTAAGCTCTTTGAAAAGCCAATCAGTGCTATCATAAATGGCTCTATAGTAATGAAGTGAGGTGAGAGGAGGAGGATTTGACAAGGCCTAAAGCACCGGAGCAGGCACAGATTCACCTTTGTGTTGCATAATTGGCCTAACCACTACGATTTTATGTCGTTTCTCTTTTAAAGGGATTTTTTCCCCGTTAAACAAATTCCCCAAAATGCAGCTGGTCATCATGTGAGTGTCTTGACATTCAGATGCTGAGACCCTTAACCTCAATTAAATTGGGCACGCAACAGCGGCTCCCTAACATCTCCCTCTGGCTGCTACATAAAAGTTCAAACATAAATTCCTGACTTAAATACACATGCAGGAAAACGATGTGCTCTCAATGTTATGGCTTCCCTGCTCTGTGATATACGGTGACAAATCTATTTGAAATCTCAAAGGAAATACCGCCATGCTGATAGGGTCTCATTCAATCGAGAACAGTTCCAGCTGAGGCTCTTTCAGATCAGCTCGGAGCATCTCAATGGCTTTTTAGATAGAGGCTGCGGAAAGAAAAAGCGAAATGAGCCTGTCTTTCATTAACCGCCTCCTGTTTATCAGGGGTGTCAGTTGCAGTAGATTAACCATGAACGCAATCACACATTTTACTTGAGAATGTGTCTACTTGTCTGGATTAATCTATTGAAAGAACACCTGATTAATCAGGAGCAGTCCAAACTTTCAATTGAAGACAGATTGAACAGTTCAGAGGCTTCTGATACAGCACCAGAGTTATGTAACCAGTCCTGAATGACTGGCTCTAATAAATAAAGTATTTTGTATTTTAGAAGCTTGAAGTAGCACTGGCATCATTGATATTTACTTCTAGTTTTTAAATAGTGCAAATATTCCGATGTATATCGCAGAAGGCTGAGATGATAAGGTGCTGTTGCTGATTACTGATTGGCCAGTAAAAAGAGTTTTTTTTCTGATTATTGAAAGATTGTTTTAGCTATTTTTAAATAAAAATGCCAACATGAAGAACAGTAGGCATTTTCATTATTTTCTGACAACACAGGCTAAATTATTCATCATCTATTTCTGCAAAAAAAAAGAAGAAGAAAAAAAGAAAAACAAAAAATAATCATCAAATTAAACAATAATGAAGATCAGTATCTGGTGAGGCTCTGGTTTCCAGTTTTTGCAGCCTTGAGTCTGTTATTCTATCGTCTATAATATTCTGTACTTGTGAAAATGAAAGCTGGGGTGCTGTCTGTGATATTATTTGAAATATAGGGAGCAGGTGTGGATTGCAAGAGCCGTACCAAGGTTATAAAAGATAGTGCATCAGTCAGAAGGTTTTTTTTGACCTGAAAGACATTTCCCATTTTTTAGATAGATCCGTTTCCCCTGTTTTTTTTTTCCATCTATCCATCAAATGAATGAAAGTCCATACAAGGTGCTCTCCAGTGCAGCTTGTCAGTGTTTTTCCTGTGTTTACAGCTCTTAAACACGTAGCTGCTAATCTGAGAAAATTTTATTTGCACATCATCATCCTGCTAATTCTTCTTCTCTTTCTTTGCTGCGTCTTGCTGCCTGAAAGCATTGCACTCAAGTACTGTGGTTTGTTTACACTTTGAATCACATGTCCCTCAAGCTGGTGAGTATCATTTTCCATAAAGGACAAGACAAAGGAGCACCTAAATAGAACAGAAGGCTTGTCCTGCCAAGCCTATGGCGTAATGATATATTTAGTAAGATCTTGTTGCCAGTTTGTTCGTATTGCCACTTGCCATCTGTGTTGAATTAGAAGATGCCTCTGAGGGGAATTGTGGACCACATTTGGAGACAAGGTCCGGACTCTAATGCATACAGTACAGTCATGACACAATGGCTGCATGCAGTGACAGAATCTGAGAGGGAAAAAGTAAATGCTTTTCTAAGCAAGCAAGGTGCAATATCTCTTGATCCGCTACTTACATGGTTGCACAGCTATGAACGCGCGCTCCAGTGAGAAGCTGTAACGGAATGGATTTTTTAATGAGAAAATAAAAGGAAAGTAAATTCTAACAGAACAATGGTGTGTGAGGCAAATGCTTCCCCAGCACCTCCTGGAAAACATTGCTGTAATTTGCTGGGTGTCTTTTTTGAGGTGGTAATTTAGAAAAAGTGTGTAGTGCATGTGCGCTCCCCGCTGGGTAAATGGGTACAGTGCAAGAGAAATTGCAGGTACTTGTAGTTGAAGTCCCACTCAGTACTGGACCTATATCTTTTTCACTGCAGGCGTCACAGTAAAGCAGGGGCACACCTGAGCACTCAGAAGGAAATTATATAGAGGAAGGGCAGGAAAGGCAACCATTTATCACAGAGCAGTGTGTTTTTATGTCTACTTCTGTCCACAGACAAAGTCTAGAAACATAAGGAAAGAAGACAGATGATGATTGTGAATCTATACATGCCTGTGAGTGTGTTTTAAAATCAGACAGTGTTCACACTAGATGAATATCCCTTTTCTTCCTCAAACATTCTGTATGTGCACATACTTATTTTGGACCGTCCCGTTCCCATGCCTGCTCACTCTGTGCTATTTATAGCCAGGCCAACGAATGGGATATGAGCTTTGCCTGAATGACTCCTGGAGTGCTGTTAGTCCTCAATGCTCCTGCAAAAGCACAGAACTAACCTGGGAGTAATGGGTGCAATATTTCTCCATGAGAGTTACAGAAGTGCTGACCTATTCTTGTGCGACTGTACACTCGGTGTTGTAGTATTGCAGCCCATTTCAGGTGATAAAATTGAAAAAAAAAAAAAAGAAAGGTTTTTTTTTTAGCTCACCTCAGCAATTTATGGTTAGGAACTTTGTTTTGCAAGTATCTTGGGGCTATTGCAGAGATTATCGCCCACAAAGACACTTGAACCCCAGCTGCTCTGGATGCGTCTGTCACTGTGTGAGCGGGTTAATGGCTGTAGTGTAAAAGCCCTTTGAGTGATCAGTAAGAAATAAAGGAGCATATACATTACAGCCAACTGCTGTCATGCAAAGTAACATTACATAATATGGGAAGAGAGTATGTGTGTGTGTGTGTGCGTGCATTGCTGCTACACTGAGGTATGAGCTGCAGCCAAACATTGCCCTCTTGTGGTCTGTAAATCTAATCACATCAATAAATCTTTGTAAAAATGTTTCCATCATTTTTTAGAAAGTCAGTGGGATTATTTGTTTGTGAACTGGACCAACAAAACAAACCCCAGAAATAATGACCAAGCCATATTTTATTAAAGTGTTATTAAATTCCCAAACTGATCTACTTAGTAAAGTCAGTATCTGTGGTGTTATTAATCAGGCGTACCCAAAGTTTCCACAGTCAAATGGCCATACACCACAGGTATGGGATGTCGGTGCATTTTACTTG